GGGGGGGGGGGGGGGGGGGTGAATGAAAACTAAACAACCGTTTGGGCGTGTGGGTTCGGGATATCAGGTAGTTATAGGACTGAAGTAGATTGAAGCCTTAATCTTCAGGGCGCAGCTTTCTAATGCCACTAAAGCACCTCAAGCTTGTGCCCTGCTCTGAGCCGCTCTGCTTTGGCTCTTGCAATCTTTGCGGCGTGTTGCTTCGGAGTATCATAGCAGTCTGACTTTTGAGGCATCGTTTCTTTTCCGCTTATAGGAGAAAGGGCCCGGAGACTTCTCCTGCAGTAATATAGGGTCCTAAATCAGTACCTATACTATTTTGGCGGCTCCTTATTATAATTATAGTACAATGGGCCCCCAAAACCCTATTCTAATCATTCAGGCGCCTACATTAAACTTGTTATAGAGCTCTTATAATAACCTTTATAGTAACCTTTTAAAGGAACCCTAATTACATTCGGTGTCTTCGGGTGAAGGCTTCGGAAGTGGGGCTCTGGTTGCTGCTTTCCCTGTGGTTGGGGTGCTGCGGTGCGAGCTTTGGTACATTTGCGCTTTCATGGGTTTTGTACTTAAAGGATCATGGGACTTAGTAAGTAGGCTTATAGTTAAGGTAACTATACTTATAAAGACTTATAACCCCAAAAAAGGGACATATAACCTTACTTACAAAGTCCCATGATCCTCCAAGTAGGGCTATGGTCGGGCTTCACGTGAAGTTGGCTGCAGGCTTGCACACGGGATAGGCCGCTGCTTCAAGGCTTAGGGTGGTTAAGGGTTTAAGGTTTAGGGTTTAGGGGTTGAGAGATGTACGCTTGAAGATAGTTTGGAATGACTACCCCCGACAATTTCATGAGCAAGGCTCTGACCTTTTTGCGCTTATACGTACAAACTTACACACTTTACCTGCCTTAGCATGCTTGGGGCTAGGCTGCCCAGGCCTGCGCCCTAGATCCTAAGATTTTCTAGGCCTGCAGCGAGGGCATGTTCTACGGAAGTCAAGCCTATTGCCAACTGGCCCTCAACACTGGAGCCCCAGACCTCAAGTGCCCGAAAGTCGTGTGAAGTTGTAGACGCTAGACTCCAGACACTAGCTACAAGATATCCAATCGGGTGGCTAAGTTGGCGCAAGGAGTTCAAGAATCGCCGCGATGCGACCTACCGCGGGGCGCACAGCTCTGCGTGCCTCATCGTCTTGTGATTAGGGCTTATGGTAGGGTCCCATACAGTTTTCCTTAGTATACCCTAGACCCTAAACCCTAAACCCTATACCCTAAACCCTGAACCCTAAACCCTAAACCCTATACCCTATAGCCTAAATACAAATGGCTACAGCAGCCCGCACAGTCCTGAGTTACGATTTCAGCAGTAACATAATGCAGCACGTAGAGAGTGAAGTGCCATTGATCGACCTTGATCAGGACCCTGAGGTTTCGGAGACTGTTCCGAGCGCCAGTGCAAATGTCAGTGATGTTGTGGATGAAGTTGATCTTGACAGCACAGATGAAGATGCGAGTGACAGCTGCGCAACCCTGGGTATCGATGCTGTTTCGCTGCGTGCACTCGCCAGGGCTTTGGGTGTAGATGCTAGGGTTACTCCTGTTGAAACCCTTGCTTACAGTCTTGTCTGCAAGCACACGCGAGGCGAGTCCATCAGCAAGCAGCACATTTTAGAGGTATGGGGCCTGATCCCACGTTGCTTTCTGTACCGCCACTTTAGTGCTATGAGCCGTGGTAAGTTTGTTGCGTTCGGGTCTAATCCTCGTCTTACCCAGGATTCACTCGTGCAACAAAAGACATGCCTCATGTTTTTGAGCTGCTGAAGCTTTTCGTAAAGCAGTGCTCGGATGACCTACAAGCCACCACCATCACTATCCGGGAAAACTGCTTCTCGGGCCCGCACCGGGATGCCCGAAATATTGGACCTAGCCTCATCGTTTCTTTGACTGAACATAGGGATGGAGGTGGGCTGTGGGTCGCAGACGGCACAGGCAGTACCCCCATGCAGCATGACAGTGTTGAGGTTTATGGCCGTATTCAGGACATCTCCCGTCCATATGCAGCAACCACGCTGCATGCGACGCAGATGTGGAAGGAGAACAGTCGAACGGTTTTAGTTGCCCTCACCCCGCTAGGCTCTGTCCTTACTAAACCCGGTCGCCAAGCCAAAACCCATGACTTCTTCCACATCGCGTCCCTGACGGACTGATAGCAGAGTGAGCAGTGCCTAATTGGTAATTCGTAATTGACTTCATGTAAGAGCCAGAACCCTGAATTTGTGCATGCCCAAAGTGCCAACTGCGGCTGCCTCCTAGGCTGAATTATCTGCATCTAATTAAGTGAATTCCTGCATGGGTTCTGATGCCCCTTGCCAACTGCTGCTGCTCTCTTCAGGTTTTACAATTTCAGTGACCACTGTGCTCTCCATACACGGCTCCATTGCTCTGCCACACAAGGATCCCCAGGAAACCCTCTTCGCCTACTTAGTGACTTAGTACCGGGTTACCAGGCTGATCTGAAAAAAAAAAGCTTAGCAATGAGCAATGGATGCGCTTTGAGCAACTCTCTGGTGGGCAAGCTGCTGGATGGTTGCGTATCTTACTTGACTGCACACTCAGTGGCTCGATGCACGGCCAGATAGAACAAGGCGACTTTTCATGCTGACGAGCTGGTCAATCGTGGCTGACCAACTGGAAAGCTGACAACAGGAGCGAGGAAGTTTTCATGCTGGCAAGCTGTTTCGTGGATGGAAGTGCCTCTTCTGGCTGGGAGTGAGACTTGGAACGATGGCTCACAAATGGTCTACGTGCACGCTGGCTTTGAAGGGATGTGCATGGGATTGACAAGTGGGTGTCAGTTGAGCTTATGGCTCACAACTGGTCTGCATGTCACGTGCCCTCGCTGGCTTTGAACAGTCTGGCAGGGAATGTGCATGAAATCTGGCAAGTGCTCACAACTGGTCTGCATGTCACGTGCCCTCGCTGGCTTTGAACATTTTGGCAGGGAATGTGCATGGAATCTGACAAGTGCCGGCTTTGCAGGGATGAGATAGTTGCGCGAAAAGCATGGATGGATGATCATGCGACAAGAAGACAAGACGATGAGTGTGCGACGCTGCAGTGAGTGAGTGAGACGGCCCGTATCGGCATTTTGTTGGGGCAAAGCACCACAGATGTGCATGCATGTTCATGATGACTGATTGAAAGAGGCATGAAATGCTATATTATTCTAGTATCATAAATTTCCTTGATTCTATGTGTGCCTACAGCTTTTGTGCGGACTGAATGCAACCCGATAATCTGTTGAGTTGCTGAATTATTGCAACCACTATACTCCAAAGCAAACCTCGCCGTGGGCATAGTTCTCAACCATGCGAGAGGAAAAAAAACCCTAAATCCTATACCCTAAACCCTATACCCTAAACCCTAAATCCTAAACCCTAAACCCTAAACCCTAAATCTTGTTCCAAGAAGGCCCGGCTCCGTGAATCTGAGCTTGCCCTCCCCTCCTCGCCGCTTTTTGACCAATTCCCAAAAGGAAGAACCCTAAATCCTATAGGATTTAGGGTTTAGGGTTGAGGGTACAGGGTACAGGGTTTAGGGTATAGGGTTTAGGGTTTAGGGTTTAGGATTTAGGGTTTTGGGGTTTAGGGACACCCTAAACCCAAAAGCCAGCAGGTGAATCTGCCACATTGCATCTCTTTTGGCAGGTAGCCCCCTTAAAAAGTAACAGGGCCGATGGTATCCGATACCCGGATTTGGGCGGTCCATGCGATGACGGTGATTTTCTTGTTAAGAAATTTATCTTTGAGTGACCATAACTGGGATGTATACTAAATGATATGGTTTCTCCATTATGGTAAATTAGCTTACTATAGTAAAGATCTACAGTAAATTATACCAGCCTCGACCCCAAACAGCAAGTGGGAGACAAATGGGAAACATGTGGGAGACAAATGAGTAGCGGTTTTTAGAGTAGTGCCGTGAGAAATCCAAATGAGCGTTACAGCAT